TCCACACTGTTCGACCTCTGGGGGGGGAGAAGGGGATCACGACGTAGGGGATCTGGGGAGGGAGGGGAGGAGGAGGAGGAGGACGAGGACGACGACGACGAGGAGGAGGGGAGGAAGACGAGGAGAAAGAGGGGAGGGGAGGAGAGGGCGAGAGGGAGGAGGGCGGAGGAAGGGGCGAGCAGGGAGGAGGCTTTGGGGAGGCGAGGCTGGTGAAGCGCATGGCCTGCCAGCAGAGGGCAGCACTGCAACACGCTGAATATTTCGGGGCAGGAGTGAAAATTCAGCTACGGGCGCCAAGACAACCAGAAAGCACACAACAGCGGCAGCGCACATCAGAGCGGCGGGTATCAGGAAAACAAAAGCTAGCCGCCGAATCTTTCCTAAGAGAGGTCGAGTCCAGGATTCGCTGAGAACGCACAGCGTCTACACCAATTGGAGGGGGCCCAAGTGAAGGTGGACAGGCACGGAGACGTCTGGGCGCGCAAACCTGCGCAGATGCATCAGGCAAATACACTCGCTCGCTCTTCTGCTCACCGGCCTGCGGCAGCAGATGCGGTCGCAAACTGCTGCTTGGCGTGTCGCCGCGGCGGCCTCGGCGACACGCTATGCCCTGCCAGCGAATAGCGTGCCGCTCCGCTCCGCGGGGCGGGAGGCTTGGGACAGCTCGGGGCGTTGACGCTTGGGAATGGAAGGCAACATGCTGATCCTGCGGCCGCCCGCGCGAGAGTTCCTGGAGCGTGGGCCGCCGGCGCCCCTGCGGAAGGAGCTCGAAGAGTTCGACAAGAGAGCGGTGGACTCCAGGACTGAAGCGGAGCAGCTCGCGGCAGAGCTAGATTCCGTGCTGCCTCCCACCTGAGCGCGGCCGCGACTAGCTCGGTGCCTGCGGGGTTGTCCCAACGCCTGCGGGGCTGCCACCCGAGAACGCGCCCCTGCCAAGCGCGGCGGCGAGGGCGCCGAAGAAAACCGTGCCAGGAGGAAGGAGAGGGGCCTGCGGAAAACAGGCGGGATGGAGATGGGGCAGGGAGAAGGAAAAGGAGGAGGAGGACGTGAAGGAGGAGGAGGAGGAAGAAAAGGACGAAGAGGAGGAATAGGAGAAATATGAAGAGGGGAAGGAGGAGGAGGAGCGCCAATACCTTATGCGTCCATCGGTCCCACGGCACTCAACGCCTTGGGGGGTTCAGCCAGGGATAAGGCCTAGCCGTTCCAGGCGGAGGCGGAAGAAGCGAGTAATTGTCAGACATTTTCGTGAGCGCCGCTTTGAGGGCCACGAGAGATTGAGACAGATCGAGGGGCCGACCGTTCTGCCGCCCAACCATTTCCTTGGCTATGTGGTAGATGTAAAAGCACAGGGAAGTAGCAAGCACAGCATTCTCTCGAGTTAAATCGAGCGCTGGATAATGGGAAGGAGGAGGAGGAGGAGGAGGAGGAGGAGGGGGAGGAGGAGGAGGGGGAGGAAGAGGAGGAGGGGAGGAGGAGAGGAGGAGGAGGAGGAGGAGGAGGGGGAGGAGGAGGATAAGATCTGACAGGGTCTGGGACGACAAAGGGGTGATGACGATGATGATGAGGAAGAGGAGGACGCAGAAGCGGGAGGAGGGCCTCCGCCAGTCGAAGAGGAAAAGGGCGAGGGGCAATCGAAATAGATTATCATGTGGGGCCCAACCGTCGGAGTAGTTTTATCTGGACACCCTCGCGCAGGAGCAGCAACACCCCACATCATCGTCGCCATCACCATCACCATCACCATCACCATCATCATCATCATCATCAGCATGATCATATGTACACACATCTTCTTCATCATCATCATCATCATCATCATCATCATCATCACCACCACCATCATCATCATCATCATCAGCATCATCATCATCATCGCCGTCATCATCGCCGTCATCGTCGTCACCATTCAACATCATCGCCAGCATCACCCTGATCATTCGCCATCACCGCCATCAATACATCATCACCCACCAGCACTTACCATCATCATCATCGTCATCATCACGCAGTCATCACACACACACACTCATCATCATCATCATCATCATCATCATCAGCATCATCATCATCATCACCACCATCATCATCATCATAATCATCATCATCATCATCATCATCATCATCATCATCATCATCTTCATCATCACCATCACCGTCACCATCATCATCATCATCAGCAGCAGCAGCAACAGTATCCGCATTACCATCACCACCATCAGCATCATCCCCCACACCCGAACATCATCACGAATAGTAAGAAGTCTCACGTGGGAGCCTCGTCTGTGAGTGGAGTGTGAGGAAGTCTCAGGCGGCAGCTCCCTCCCTATGGGGCCCGCATCTCACGTTGGTAATCAGAGCGGGTCATCCGAACCCTGTAACTGTCCTCACGCTGGGGCCCCTGAGGCTCGAATATGGAGTAAGTCTCAAGCAGAAACCTCGAATGTGAGTGCATTTGAAGAAATCTCAAGCGGGAACCCGTTCTCTATGGGGCCCGCACCTCATGTTCGAACCCGAGCGGGTCATCCAAACCTTGTAACTGTCTTCACTTTTGGGCCCCTGAGGCTCGAATATGGAGGAACTCTCGAGCGGAAGCCTTGTCTGTGAGTGGATTGCGAGGAAGTCTCAAGCGGGAGTCCCCTTCTGTATGGGGCCCGCAGCTCACGTTCGAATCCGAACGGGTCATCCATTCCGTGTAACGTCACTTTGGGGCCCCTGAGGTTTGAATCTTGACGAGGTCTCGAACGGGAGCCTCATCGGTGACTGACTTGTGAGGAAGTCTCAAGCGGGAGCCCTTTCTCTATGGGGCCACACCTCACGTTCGAAACCGAGCGGGCCATCCGAACCCTGCAACTATCGTCACTTCTGGGCCCCTGAACCTTGAATATGGAGGAAGTCTCAAGCGGGAGCCTCGTCTGTGAGTGACTTGTGAGGAAGCTCAAGCGGGAGCCCCTCTCTATGGGGCCCGCACTTCATGTTCGAATCCAAGCGAATCGTCCAAACCCTGCGACTGTCGTCACACTGTGGCCCCTGAGGCTTGAATCTTGAGGAAGTCTCAAGCGGGAGCCTCGTCTGTGAGTGACTGTGAGGAAGTCTTAGGCGGGAGCCTCTTCTCTATGCGGCCCGCACCTCATGCTCGAATCCGAACGGGTCATCAACACCTTGTAGCTGCCGTCATGTTTGGGCCCTGAGGTTTGAATATTGAGGAAATCTCAAGCGGGAGCATCGTCAATGAGTGAACGCCTCCAAGGCAATCGCGACGACGATGACGCGGGCGGTGGCGACGGCGAGGACGAGCGCGCATGCGGCGTGGGCGGCGACCCCGCTGCGGCCAGTTTTGCCGGCACCGTGCACTCAACGCCCACCGCGTACATCGCCGCCCTGGTCGCCGACTTGCTGGAGAACGAGAGACTCACGCGGGACCAGACGCTCTTCGTCGCCAAGTTCGCCAAGGCCTGCGAAGACGCCTGGGAGGACGACGCGCAGCAGAAGCCCTGGAGCGAGCGAAAAGTGACGCTCTTGCTTCTGCTGGGCCATGGCGGCTCGGGGAAGACGCACGAGGTGCAGAAGATCGTCTTCCCGCTGGTGGAGTATTTTCAAGGGGCCCTAAGACACACAAATAAACACATTGAATAAACCGGATTCACTATAGTTTCCCATATTTTCTAAGTTTTTGTCTTCCCCCCCACTTCCCATATTTTCCTATATTTTCGGGAGAATCGACGATTAATTGTGGCTGTGTGTTTTCCCCCTCCTGATATTTGTGGCCCTCGCAGGCGCCCGAGAAGGGCGCCATCATGGTCGTGGCCTTCTCGAACGCGCAGGCAAAGAACATCTCCACGGAGACCGTGAAGGCCAGAAGGCTGCACAACGCCTGTGCCCTGCGAGTCCAGAAGTACATCAACGCGAAGATAAGGCCGGGGGGTATGCAAAAGAGGTTGAAGTGGTTGTGGGAGCACGCCCGCGCTCTTGCCATCGAGGAGGTGAGCATGGTGGCGTCTGCTCTGTACTACGTGCTGGACCTTCGCGCATGCCACGGGCGCAGTGACACGCACGGCGTGCAGGAGTCCACCTACAAGCTGCCGCACCACCACCAAGGGCGCGTCCCCATCACGTTGCACCTCGGAATTGTCCTGCAGCTGAACCCCACCGGCAACATCGACGTCCTGACGGATGTGAATGAGCTTCTGGGCGACGGATCGTACAAGCACGCCGATCCGCCGACGGTGGAGATACAAGGTCTTCTCTCATATCCCTTACGTCGTCGAGCTGAAGGGCACGAAGCGCTTCGAGCCCGGGGACCCTCTGATCGCGCTCTTGGGCCGCACGCGTGAGGGCAAACGCTTCCCGCCAGATGTCTGGTCTGTCTGGGAGAAGACGTTGGCCTCGGACAACCACGGCGTCCTGGACCCTCGGCACCAGCACGAGAACTTTCGGCTCGGTTACGGCATGGGCATCTACTGGGAGACGCTGGCGAAGTGGATCAACACGCGCGCTCGTCGTGACGCACGGCGCCTCGGCGTGCCCCTCGATGTCCTTCAGGCCGTAGACGAATGCAGCGCGATTCAAGGCGATCCAGACGCGGGCCGGCGCCTCCTGAACGTCCCGAACATGCACAAGACGGGGGACACGCACGGCGCCTTACCGGCACACGTCGGCATGGAGGTCGGGTTCACGGCCGCGCAGGAGGAGCTGAAGAAGAAAGTGGGGCTGGTGCAGGAGCAACGGGCCGCCACCGTGTCCTTCGAGTTTCACCCAGACGACGAGCGGGACTACGAGGAGTGCGCACTGGGCCAAGTCTTTCGCCCCCGCTACCTACCGCAGGGAATCTGGATGCAGGTCCACAGTTTCAAGGAGCCCCCGATCTACAAAGAGGTCGCCGAGGTGCTGCTGCAGGGCGTCGAAGGCGCCGACGACAACGGCGAGGCCGAGGCGCGGGCGAGGAGTTTGCACACGTTCATGCCCAGCGAACAGGAACTCACGCGGCAGAGCTTGGGGCCACACGTCGTGCGCCGCTCGAGGTTCACCCTGACGCACGCGCCCTGCCTGACCTCCACGCCGTCGCAGGGTCAAACGCTGCGCAAGGGCGTCACCATCGACTGCGTCAGAACTCAGGATGCTGGTCACACGGGAATGTCGGACGACCAACGGTGGCTGCACCTCTACGACATGTTCTCCCGCGCCACGCGCAGGCGGAACATGCCGATCCTGCGGCCGCCCGCGCGAGAGTTCGTGGAGCGCGGGCCGCCAGCGTCCCTGCGCAAAGCGCTCGAGGAGTTCGACAAGAGAGCGGTGGACTCCAGGGCTGAGGCGGAGCAGCTCGCGGCAGAGCTGGACTTCGTGTTGCTTCCCGCATAAGCGCGGCCGCGACTAGCTCTGTGCCTGCGGGGTTGTCCCAACGACTTGCTCTCGCGCCCCAGCGGCTCGCGGGGTTGTCCCAACGGCCGTTGCCCCGACGGCTTCGCGATTTTGCCACCGGAAAACGCTCCCCTGCCAAGCGCGGCGGCGAAGGCGCCGAGGAAAATCGGGATGCGCGCCCGTGCCAGGAGGAAGGAGAGGCGCATGACGAGAACATGCGGCATGGAGATGGTGGGGGGGGAGAAGAAGGAGAAAGGGGGAGGACGAGGAGGAGGAGGAAGAGGAAAAGGACGAGGAAGAAGAGTGGGAAGAGGAGGAGGAGGAGGAGAAATATGAGAGGGGAGGGAGGAGGAGGAGGATGAGGAGGAGGAGAAGGAGGAGGCGGAGGAGGAGGGGGAGGATAAGACACTGCAGGGAGAGCGCCGCGCAGTGCACAGACGACCACCTAGGAGGAGGGGGAAGAGGAGGAGGAGGAGGAGGAGGATAAGAACTGAAAGGGTCTAGGACAAGAAGGGGGTGATGACGATGATGATGATGATGATGATGATGATGATGATGATGATGATGATGATGATGATGATGATGATAATGGTGGTGGTGGTGATGATGATGATGATGATGATGATGATGATGATGATGATGATGATGATGATGATGATGATGATGATGATGGATGATGATGAATGATGATGCTGATGATGCTGCTGATGATGATGATGATGAAAATTATGATGATGATGATGATGATGATGATGATGATGAGGAGGAGGAGGAGGAGGAGGAGGACGCAGAAGAGGGACGAGGGCCTCCGCCAGTCGAAGAGGAAAAGGGCGAGGGGCAATCTGAACAGATTTCTAAATAAATTATCATGTGGGGTCCCATCGTGAGGATTTCTACCTGACTAAACCCTGACCTCGGCAGGCAGGTGCGACGGCCACCGGGCGGCGCGCGGCCGCGGGGCACGGCGCGCAGGGCAAGGCAAGACTCGATGTAGTCCAGGCTCTCTAAGAGGTGCTCTCACCGCCAGCAACTCTGAGAGGTGCTCTCTAAGAGGTGCTCTCTAAGAGGTGCTCTCTAAGAGGTGCTCTCTCGAAGAGGCTTCTCCTCCAACTCTGCCGCCTGCGCCACCCTCGCCTCGGCATCCTCCAATGGGCACGGAGCCCTTTGGCCGCGGCGCGCGGAAGGGGGGAACGGGGGGGGGCGCCTTTGCGGCCGCGAGGCCCCGGCTGCGGTTCGAGCTGGAGGGGGGGGGGACCCAGATCTCCTCGATGTCGACCTTTGGGGCATATTACTGAACCCCGTGGCTACCCCAAACGAATCCGGAGCGCAGAAATACCCTCAGGGAAGCGGTCGGGACCTCTGGGACCGCGGATGGAAGAAACCAGATCGGCGGATGTCGGGGAGGAAAGAGGTTTTTGGTTGGTTGGGCTCAGGCTTGACGAGACCATACCATACGGGAGCAGGGACGCTCGTCGGCGATACCGACAGACAGAGGGTGCCTGAATCGAGGGGCTGGCCTCTCCCCCAGCAGGCCCTGGGACATCTGCTGGCAACGGGACCGCCTTGAGAGAAGCAGAAGAAGAAGGAAGGAGAGGAAGGATGGAGGATGGAAGAAGGAGGCTGGAGGAAGGAGGATGGAGGAGGAAGGGCGTTGGAGGTTCCTGCAAAATTGTCGAGAGCCCCTGAGCAAGAACCAGGAGGGCCCAGGAGGGCCCAAGAGGCACTGGCAGTTCCGCTCCAGGAAGGCTTGCAGAGGCGGGGGGAAGAGGGGCGAGGGGGAACTTGATCGAGGAGGAAGTCGGAAAAGGAGGGGAGTTCGAAGAGGAGGATGAAAAAACGATAAAACATCTAATGTGGTCGCTGTCCTTGTCCCCGTCTGTATTGGGCGTCCGTGCAACACTCAGGCGCGTCAAATCAAAAGTTGTGCCTTATGTTACCATTTCTTGCGTTTCTTGAACATGTCATTATTATTGCATTTCTGGCTTGATCTTCTTATTAGAATCTACTACTACGACTGCTACGACTACTACTACTACTACTACTACTACTACTACTACTACTACTACTACTACTACGACGACTACTCAAATGAAAACGACTACTACTACTACTACTACTACTGCTACTACTACTGCTATTGCTGTTGCTACTACTACTGCTACTACTACTACTACTACTACTACTACTACTACTACTACTACTACTACTACTACTACTACTACTACTACTACTACTACTACTACTACTACTACTACTACTACTACTACTACCACTACTACTACTACTACTACTACTACTACTACTACTACTACTACTACTACTACTACTACTACTACTACTACTACTACTAACTACTTACTACTTACTACTTACTACTTACTACTTACTACTACTACTACTACTACTACTACTACTACTACTACTACTACTACTACTACTAC